CAAGATATCTGTGATAATTTTAAAGTTGAGGGTGTGACAGATGAAATTATGATAATGAGGTTATTCCCTCACTCCTTAGGCGTAAAAGCAAAAACATGGATGAAAACTCTCACCCCTGGTTCAATACACTCATGGGAGGAACTCTCTAACAAGTTCATAGAGAGGTTTCTCCCTATGTCCCGACAAGCTGATGTAAGAGAAGAAATCTCTAACTTCAGGATGTTTGATAGAGAAAATCTCTATGAAGCATGGGAAAGATACAAGGACATCATCAGAAAATGTCCAAACCATGGGGTAGAGAGTTGGAGAGTGTTACAATCTTTTTATAAGGGACTTGACCATACTTCTCAGTCACATTTAGATTTTGCTGTAGGAGGATATTTTTTTACAAGAACTCTTGAATCCAGGTATGACATCATAGAAGGCACTGCAGACAGATGTCTCCAATGGCCAATAGACAGGGTGAGCCCAGTAAGGAAGCCTGGCATGCTCAAACTAGACAAACAAACTGCCATGGAAGCCCAGCTAGCCTCACTCATGAATGAGGTGAAGAACCTGAAAAATGATCAAGAAGCACCAAGGAAGGAAGTCTTGCAACTCACAGCAGCTGAAACTGAACCATGCTCAGCCTGTGGTTACCTTAATGATTCAGCAGACTGTCCATCCACTGCACTGGTGTGTTATGCAGAAAACTTTGGGAACAGGAACTTCAACCAAGCCAGGGACAATCAACAAGCAGGACGCAATACCAATTCAAATCCTGGAGGAACTATCACCAAAGATCAGAACTATAACCCCCAATGGAGGCCACCCATAAACCACAGACCATTCAACACTCAGCAGTAGTACCAGCAAGGCAGCACCAGTGGAACGTTTGAACAAAGAAGAAACAATTACGTTCCGTTACACAGAGATGACCAACGCATCAACACCCTGGAAAATTATGTCAAAGAATATGTCACCAGGAATGATGTAGTGGTCAGGAACACTGAATCCCATTTGGGACAGATTGCTGCCAGTCTCCAAACAAGAGTACCAGGATCACTACCAGGGGACACTGAAGTTCCCTCAACCACTTATGAATCCACCTGAGAGGTAAGTACCATGTCTAGCTAAAGACATTAAATTAAGCGCTGACTGGGAGGCAACCCAGCGAATTCATTTTCTCTCTGTCAAAGAGCAAAGTTTTGGGGTGGTTAACCTTAACCACATAGCTCCCAAAAGGAGGGAATGTAACACCCCGTGTATACCCGATTTGTTAACATATCACCGTATTAAGCTGCGCTTAATTAAAAATGCAGAATATCTTTTTCTTTTCAATTATGATGTCATTATACTTAGCCAAGTTGATTACTTAATCAATTTAATAAAATATTGTCTGTATGTAAATTGCAAAAAGACATCTAACTGAAATACCTCATAATATAGATAAAGTGAGTATCTATGTCACGGATCCACTACATGTAGTCCGGACAATAATCCTGATACATTAATACAACTCCAACATAAAACAAGACATAATCAAGTCTATGTGGCATGGACAAACCCCATGCTCACCAAATCAACAACATAACCAACAGAGTCTCAACAGAGAAATCCATAAACTGAAGCTAAAAGCAAAAGACAGTAAATAAGATCCACATCCAATCATAACAGCATATCAGCATAAGCAGCATAAACATGTAACATCTATCAGCTATGCTCTGGCCTCCTACCACTAGAGGTCTCAACCCCGCATTACCTGAACCTGAAATAAGCATTCCCCAAACATGGGGTGAGATCTCTAAACCAGAAATCTCAGTAAGACAAGGGGTCCTCAAGGATCTTCCACCCCAAGCTCACTTACATGTGCAATATAAGTTCCAAAAGCAGTAATTCAATATAAGTTCCAAAACTCAATGCAGTGCAACAGATATTCATACCATGTGTGTTTAACTATTCTACTGGCCAGAGAAATACAGGAATACGTCTATTACCTATAGATAGTACAAGGAACACCGCTTGCACCTCACCCACAGCCTCACCATATCGTATGTACTACATACTCAGGCTTACCGTATAGGTGGAACACCACATGCATATCATAAAGGCACTAGCATATAACAACTCAATAGCAATTCTAAAACATCAAAAGCATGTAACACAGCATGCATATAACCATACCCCCATAGGACATGGTGGAACCACAACATGGCTAAACCGAGGACACGAAAGCTTACCTTGCAAGCTCACAATCCAGTGCCAAGAGTCAACATAGCTCAACGTCCACAAACAGTACAATCACAATCTGTTTGGACCAATAATTATATCAATAAACACAGCTCAAACGCATAAACATAAAGACTACGTTTTCCTTTTACGGTTTACGTCTTTAGGCTTCTCACAAAGTCACAAGCCCTAAAACACTTAGGTTCTGACTTAGATAATTATCACAGAAGTACCACTTCATCAAACTAGGGTCCACAAACCCCCCAATAGCCTACTGTATGAACAGTGCAGCTACTGTTCTTCGAAATCCCAGAATATTCGGATATATGTCGGGGACATATCCGGATATTCACAACCAAATATCCGAATATTTCGCGACAGAACCCAGATTCTGCATTTCGTGAAAATCCAAACCAAAGTTCCAACTTTTACCGATTACAGAAGCTTAAACATGCATTTCTAAGTGTGTTAAGCATTACCCAACGTTAGGTTATCATCTTTAGCTCATTACATGCATCAAGGTTTCAATTTTAACCAATAACTCATTATCAAAGGTTGAGTATGTTTACCAAGCTTCTCATAACAGAGAATGGCAGGGAAATGGAGCTTCCTACACCAATCCACTGTGCAGCAACCAAAGGGCCACGAAAATGCACAACAAGAAGACTCTTTTCTACACAAAGGTGGCACTTTGAAGCTCAAAATACCAACTCCAAGCTCCCACAAACCAACTCTCAAAGTCAGCACCTCCTCACCCTCAACCAGAGGCTACAACTCAGCAAGGGAGTCACTCACAACCTCACAAGACCAAGCCACCCAAGGTAATGATGTTTAGAGATGAAGAGATGGAGCAAAGGTGGCAACTTGGCTCAAGAAATGGAGGAGAAGACCAATGGAACAGTGACCAGCAGCTAACCAGCCCCAAGACTCACGTAGGATCAGAATTTTGGCCTAGGGTTTTGGGCCAGCTAATGTATATATAGCGATTTAAGTCATTAACACACAATATAATCGTTAATTGCTACGCTTAGCATTTTAATCCCAAACTCAGGATTCTTAACCTACTCAATTTTACAAGAATTATCATATTTTTATTATATTTTTCAGAGTACCTTTCCGGTACGCGCTTTTTATAGCCAGTATCAATTTCTGGCACCAGTTCTCATTATTTTAACTTGAAACTCGTTTTACAAGTCCTATATATTATTCTAGGAATTATCATGCACTTATTATAATTTTCCGGGATACTTTTTTGGTACGCATTTATACCGACTATCAGAACCGGTATCTGCACTTTTCTTCCGAAAAGCGACTTTCAGCATTATCAACCACTTTCTATATTTATTTAAGCCTCATAATAATTATTAGGGTCGATTTAAAATTATTTCCTAATTCTCATATCTAATTAATTAATTTCCTTAATTAACGGTGCGGGTTCTTACAGGGAACGTCCGATGTTCCACTCCAAAGTCCAAATAACATACATTCTGTTCCAGGAACGTAGTTTTGGGGTGGTCCCTGACCACACAATCCCAATTTCTTAAAAAACTATATTTTATTTATATATTTTGCAAAGTTGTTATAAACAGTAGTAAATAAGTAATTAGTTATGCTTTACGTTCCCTTCCCCTTCATTAGATTAGGTTTACATTTAACTAATCAACATTTTTCTTTACCTTTTCTTTTAGTGATAGTTAGTAAATAATAATTAGGATTTTTATTAAGAAAAGACAAAGGGAACGTTCCCTGGGTTAGAAGATAAGATTGACTGGGACACCTGTCCCTGCTGAATCACTCAAAAAGATACGCAGCCATATCAAATTTGCACTTATTGCAAATCTTGAAAACGTGCTCAGAAAAAGCAACCCTCTCCTCAACCATTAATGCAACTGCACCATTTCCTTTTCCCTCTCTCCCACGTATTCTGACCTAAACCATTCCATCTCCTTACATCCATCATAATCAGTTACACACCACTAACTGCTGACCACTCGTTTTGTAACGTCCCCATTTCACCACATTTCCCACTCCCTCTCCTCAACCTCCACGTCCCAAAACCCTTTCCATTGCATTCCTCCAATGTGTATTTAAACCCATTTCTTCATTCTTTCAAGTCTTACTACTTCCCAACAACTTAGAGATTTTTTTTCCTCCTTTCTGCTAAAAAGATGACCAAGCTATCAGTGAAAGTGGCTCCTGTGGCCAGCCGTGACCAAGAACCAGAGCTCACTGAACCCATCATCCATCTATACCCAGAAAGAAACATATCCTTGCAGCAGGAAAAGCTTGTCCTGCCTCCTTTCGTGAAGAAGGCCCTGAACAGCCTCAAGTGGCTTCATTTTGCCACTGACGACCGTGAAATGAATGTCTCAATGGTGGGAGAGTTTCTGTACCAGACGAGGAGGCTGCCTCAACAAGACACCACTGATGTGGTCACAGTGAGGGGAAAGCAAGTGTCGTTCTCCCCTGCTGCTATCAAGGAAGTACTCTACCTCCCTAGTGTCTCCAAATGTCCATACCAGGAGTACATAGACAGTAAGGAAGTTGCCAGATTTCGGGGGGACCTGAAGGAGACAATAGCCATCAGGAACCCCACCTACACCAAAGGATTCCTCTGTAAAGGAGGCATGAGGGACGAAACCTGATTCTGGGCTTTATTTTCCAATTCCAACATCACTCCTTCCACTCATGAGGCCACTGCCAGTTGGGCACTGCAAGTTTAAATCTACTGCATCATAAAGAACACTCTTTTTGATGCAGTACTCCTCATTTATAACAACTTGAAGAGGGAGATGAGAAAGACCACAGTTTTCCTCCCCTATCTCATCACCAAGCTCTGCCTGAAAGCTGGTGCGGAGGCCCACCAGGATGACATAACAAAGGTAGCATCTGTCATCGATGCTAAGACCTGGAATGGTCTTAGGAGCACCTACATTGATACAACCCAGCCCATTCCTGAAGACCTCAGACGCACTGTCACCAGTGATGATGAGGAGAAAGCTCCAGTGGTCCCGCAGATGAAAGCCACAAAGGCCACTCCTTCAAAATCCTCCACTTCTGCCCACGTCCCGGCAAGAAGAACCGTTCCCTCTCCCACCAAGGTGAAAAAGGATACCCCTGTTGCTATTGAAAGCAAACAGGGCAAAAAGATATCCCCTGCCAAAGATCCCCCAAGAAAGGGGGAACGTTCAAGTCAAAGGCTGAAGACAACCTTCAGCAGCACTAAGAAGGCAGAGGGAGCATCCTCTGAGAAGCCCATCACTCTCTCTGACAGAGAAGAAGAGAGTGATGACAATGAGCCTTTGGCAAAAAGGCTGACGGCTGGGAGAACGTCAGCATCTAAACCAGCTGCCAAGGAGACGTCCCCAAGCAGCTCTGACTCCACTTTCTCTAACGTTCTGCCCCCACCATCACCACCTACTCACTCGTCAGCACCACCTATCCCACAGCCCTCTTCCAGGCAACAACAGGGGGAGGGGAGAACAGAAAAAGAAGCAGCACCTGCTGCAGAAACACCAGTGCCTGAGAAAGAAGCTCAGCCACCAAAGAAAGCTGACAGAGGAAAGGGGATCCTGTTGGAACCCCTTGAAAAGAAGAAAAAGCCAACAGGGCCCAAACAAATCAATTTGGGAGGTCCCCTGTCTTACCATGTTATCCGTCCTGACACTTCTGGGGATGAGGCTTTTGCCAGAGCTCTAGCAGAGGAAGAAGGGATGGTAGTTCCTCCACGGATGGAGGAACCTACTGAAACAAATCCCTCATCATCTAGACCATCAAAAGATGAGCCCAGCCCAACACCTGTTGCACCTCCTATTATTAGCAGCAGCCAGCATAGCAAACAGACCACTTCCTCCCATGTTACAGCAATCCCCCTCCCAACTAAAAAGAAGTCCCAAATTGGGATTGCTGAAATTTTTGAGATGATGGGGAAGAGGATAGAAAAGCTGCTGCCAGCAAAACAATCTGTTCCCCAACTTGATATGACAAGCACCAATGAAGAGCTGAAAGCTCTAAGGGAGGGATTGGACTAACTCTCTGCTTCCTTCAACAACTTCCAGAAATAGTAGAAGGAAGAGAAAGAATAGCAACTCAACACCATTAGGAAAACCATCCAGGAAACCAGTGCCACCTCTTATGCATCAACACTCCAAGCTGTCGAGGGAGAAATCATAAGAGCTTCTGACTCCCTAATACTTTCCAACTCCTTGCACAACCACAGAGCTGAACACTTGCTCAGCAAGCTCCTCCTCAAACATTCCGAAGAGAGAAAAGAAACCAAAGAGGCCATCAAAGCCTTTGGAACATTTTTGGACGGGAGAATTTATGAGTTGGAAATGAGGTTGTTGGATGTTGAAGGGCAGATTATCCACTTTCGCACTGGCAGAACAATGATGAGGTCCACCATCAATTTCCTTGTTGCAGTAATCAGCGATCTACTGAAGGATGCTGAGAAATGGCTCCCTGAATCTGAAGTAAGAAGTCTAAGAGATCAGCTCAGAAGGAAGCCATTGACACAAGAGGAAATGGATGAAGCTAAGGAAGCTGAGGATGCACAGAAGAATACCACCTTGGGCAAGAGACGCCCCCAATGAAAATGAGAAAACCCTCCTAGTTGTTTAAATTCTAATTTATTTTCAGTACTGTTTATTTTAATTCTTTTTTCTTTTCTGTTCCCTTGTATATATTCTCTTTGCAATGAAAAAGACTTTTTGATCAAACTGCTTGGTACACACATTTCAGTTATAGTATTAAGGCTATACAATTGTGAATAGCCAACAACTTGAAACACAAAGTCACTGATTAATCATTCTTATTCTTTCTCTGAGTACTTGAAATAGGAAAATTGCAGGGAATTTAATCTTCAGATTTTTGAGGGAAGCTGATTTGTGTGAACTAAAGCTGGTAAGGAACAGAAAAGAGTCAAACATATACTTATGAGAGCGTTCCTGAGGTGTAACCACAATGAAACTTCTAAACTTGCCTGGATGTTGTGAGTACTGCTGAAGAACATATGGATTTTACTAACAAGGATCAACTAGGTCAACCAAAAGGACAAGGAACGAACACAGAAATGAACAAAGAGGACAGAAAAAGGAAAACAAAGAAAAAAGGAACATCCATTCAAAAGAATTCAGACGAAAATACCAGAAGATCTCCCTTCAAGGGAAGAAAAGGTAAAAAAAGGAAAGGTGTTCTCCCAAACAAAAAAAGTCCAGTTCAAAAACACAATTGTAAACGTTCCTTGGCCCCATGATTATGACCACTGTTCTACCACACCTCCATAAACCCTCCTCTCAAAAGATCCTTGGAAGGGAAGACATATGTACTTCATAGGAAAGCAGCAGAAAAGCAAGTTCTGAAGAATCACATCTAGAAATGGATAGAGCAAACACCAACCCTGAGTGATAGTGAGACAGAAGATCAGCATCCTTCACTTACCTTGGAACAAATTCATCCTACTTTTTACCTATGAAGAGTAGATCATTTTTTGAAAAGTTTATGATTGCTCACTGGCTCAAGTTTCTTTCTGTTGAGCTATTCTTTGAAATTGGGCAATCTGATACAATATTTCTGAGTTGTTTAAGGACAACCAACATTTTAGTTTTGGGGTATTGATGGGACGTGAATTCGTTCCCATCTAAGCCCATTTTGAAGGCAAAACACCTGACGTTCCCTCATCTGATGAGCAACTTCAGCATGAAAATCACTTGTTTTACACATTTGTGACAAAAACACAGTGGGGGAACGAAAGATGAGGTAATCCGTTGAAAATATATTAAAAAGGGGACGAATTGATAGCATTTAATGCACTTGCTACCTTCATTTAATGCTCTGCTCATTTTGCAGGAAACGTGGAAACAACGTCTTCTAAAAAGCAAGGCGGTGCGCCACTCAAGGACCAGGAAACGTGAAGAGCAGAGAATCAAGAGTTCTCATTGGCCAAGAAGAAAACACGGCATGAGGGGACTGCACAAAATGGCTAATCATCAACAAATATTGTCCCATCAAGCAATTTGCAAAGCTTCTAAACACTGTTGCCACCGCCCCGACCCTTCATTCAAGAAACTCACGCCAAAGGATTTACAAGACTGTCATTCCTCTTCTGCCTATAAATAGGACTTCCCAAATACAAAAACATCATCGAATTCTGGAGGTATTAAAGTCCTAAAAGAAGAGATCACCTAGTTGTAGTTAGTAGTTTAGTTTTATATAGTTGTAACTATAGTTAAGTGACAACCCTTCTTCTCTGTTCTGTATCATCCCCTAAGACTCCTCACGAGCATCAAACCACCCTCTTCATTTTTATGTTTCATTGTAAACTGTCTTTCAATTTAATATAAGTGTTTCTTCTTTTCGTTCCGTTTGTTATCTCTGAGCTGAATCTCGAGTCTATGGAACTTCAGTTTAGAATAATTATGTTTCAAATATCAGCCATGGGCTGAACTATCTGTGGAACGGATAAACTGCAACATTCTTAAAGAATTATTTTCGAAACTATTGACTGAAGATTTTTGTATTTCTTTGGCTAAGTAAGCTATATTCATTGTGTATCAATGGAAATTGAACACATACTCAGAAAGAAACTTCCATAAGGAAAGGATTTCAGACAGCTTAGCCATTAGGGGCAGGTAGTGTCATGGCAAAAACACTATTGGTCACCTTAGGAATTAGGGGCCACTTTGTCCACTTTAAGGTTCTGTACTGAGTACCTGTTGGAGTCAAGGGAGCCATAGGAATATGGAAACTTGTGAGCCATCTAGTCCATGAGCTGAGGAATCGGAGTTGGCAGATAAGAAACTGGGACGAAGCCAAAAAGTGCTAAGTCTTGAGCAGAGGAAATAACTATTTAAGAATGGAGCAGTGAATTCGTTCCTTCTGTTAAACTATTTTTAAAACCATCCACTTGTTGTCTCTTAATTATAGTTATTACTGCTTTATTATTTTTACTTTATTTAATCTTGTATCTACAAAATCTCCAATGATTATTATCTCACCTTCTTCTAAATAGGAATGATCACATACATAACGCAGCGAGCAATTGTTTGCCACCAGACTGAACTTACTGTTCCTGAGGAACGTTGTCAAGACAATAGGGAACGTTTGACCAGACAGTTCATTAACTAACTTTTCTTCTCATTTTCATTCTTTATAAAATAGTATAAGACAATATTTAGAGTTCTATCCTCGTGGGAACGATAATCTGGGCCTTCATACACCCATTATTACTTGATGCGTGCATTTGCGCACTTGGGTTGGAAGTAAGGGAACGAATCTGTGTTCTATCACCAATATAGAACAGAGAAACGTCCCCCACCAGAACTTATATTTTTCCACCATCAGCAAACCACCCAACATACAACTTCAAAAGAAGCGTGGGATATTTTGGCAAATGTCTACAAAGGAGATGACAGTGTTATGCAAGTCTGACTTCAAACTCTTCGTGGTGAGTTGGAAGGAATGAAAATGAAGGAGACAGAAGGTGTGTCTGACTTCATCACGCGTGTTCAAATCGTGGTGAACCAGTTAAACAAGAATAGAGAAGTGCTTCCCGATGCGAGAGTGGTGGAAGAGATCTTGAGGTCTTTAACCGACAATTTCGAGAATGTCGTATGTACCATAGAAGAATCAAAAGATCTAGCAACGCTCACTGTTGAAGAGCTCGCTGGTTCCCTTGAGACACGTGAACATCGTAAGAAGGAGGAGGAGGAGGAGACACTTGAGCAAGCGCTTCAACCCAAGGCATCAATCAAAGACGAGAAGGCCCTCTATTCTCAAAACTTTTGAGGTAGAGGTCGTGGCCGTGGGGGACGTGGAAATGGCCGTGGTAGTAGAGGTCGTGGTCAAGAAGGGCAGAGTGAGGAGAAAGGACAGTCAAGCCAACAAAACTGGCGTGGAAGAGGACGAGGTCGTGGAAGAGGAGGTCGATCATATTACTCCAACATTGAGGGCTACAAGTGTGGCAAGTATGGTCACTATGCAAAAGATTGCAACGCAGATAAATGTTACAATTGTGGCAAGATCAGACATTTCGTAAGAGATTGCCAAGATGAGAAAAAGGTGGAAGAGACTTCCAACCTAGCCACGAAAGGAGAAACGAAAAAAGGAGGTGTTCTTTTGGTGGCACACAGTGAAGTCAACTCTGACAATAAGACAGAGTGGTATCTCGACACGGGTGCAAGCAATCAAATGAGCGGACATAAGCACCTGTTTAAAGATTTGCGAAAGGTGCAAACTGGACATGTCTCATTTGGAGATGCATCGAAGGTAGAGATCAAAGGCCGATGTACGATTTGCTATTTACAGAATGATGGGTTAGTTGGATCAATGCGAGATGTGTTGTAATAACCCAAAAATCTTGTACTCGAAATTAGCCTAATGAAATGAAATGAAAAGGGATCAAGTCCATATTCAGTGAACGAGTAGCTTTGAATAAGCAACATTAGTCCTAAGCTAGAACCCACTTTAAATAAGATAATTAATAACTTAGCCCAATGTGGTTTAAAGCCCAAATAAAGTTAAAGCCCAACCTACTTAAGAATATAACTAAGTTAAAGGATTCAAGCCCAAAGCAATGCAAGCCCATTTTATAAGAAATGGCCCAATTAGTATCTAGACCAAGATTCAAGCCCACACCACCTAGCCTTGACCCAATTACAAATGGTCCAACACTTATTAACTTAATGGGCCAAGACACTCACCAAGCCCAACCCAATTCGAAGGAACAACCCTAGATGAGGTGTCATCACATGATTGGAGGAATTTGAATGAGCTTCACCTCCCCTACTATGGCAAACTCGGCCATGACTAGAAGAAAAGGGAGTGGTGTTGCTTTCCACACTCCCTAGGCGCCACTTAAGGAAAGAATGGACAAGTAAGAGCTTAAGTAAGACACACTCCAAGCCTTAACCATGCATGTGATCTTCTCCAAAAAGCAACTAACCTTTTCTCCTTACACACCTTGGAGGGCGCACTCATGACAATGAAAAGGGAAACTTTCTTCTCCCACACTCCAAGCCATGCATGACACATC